ACCGGGCAGTTGCCGTGTGGTTTCGGCAGATGAGGGCAAAGGACGCCATCATCAGCGGCCCAATGATTCTGGACGAAGCGAAGAAGTTTGCACTAAAGCTGGACAGTCTTGGGCAATGGCTGGCTGGGACGATGGAAGACGAAAAGAAAATGTCGCCTTTCACAACAAATTGCAAGGTGAGAAGCCAGAAGGTGGAAAAATACAAAAGGATCGCCTCTTTCGATGCTTCCACTGCCGTGTTACGCTAATGCAGAATCTTGGATGACTGGTGCCTTGTGGACTGAAATTTTGCTGGATTTTGACAGCAAAATGATTAAGCAGAAGAGGAAAGTCCTTTTGTTCGCCGACAACGCGGCTTGTCACAAGTTGGAGGAAGGAATCATACTGAAGAATGCGAAAATTCCGTTTCTCCCAGCGAACACGACGTCTGTCATCCAACCACTCGATCGAGGAATCATCCGTACGTTCAAGGTCTATTATCGGTACATCCGTACGTTCAAGGTCTATTACCACCATTCAACGCCGGGCAACCCAGCTTGTATGAAATGAAGGAAAAAATAAGAAACGGTTCGAGTCGGAGACAGGAAGTGGGAAAGGAGAGGGAAGAAAGACTATTTTCTTCTGTTTCGGCTCGATCTCATGAGGTGCATGAAAGTGGGACTGTTCTCATAATTCCCTCCATTTCGAAACGTACATCGGTTGATCCCCCTCTCTATAATCCTGTCTTTCTCTTTAGTATGGAGAGGCTTACGTTTTTGAATTTTTAACTCGCCCTGGGGAATCTTACCTCTTAAGGTGATGTTTCGGCCACCGCAGGTTTAGCACCATCGACAGGTTTCCTAAGAAACACAATAATAAACATAAAAGTATTTTTTAAATGATCAGCGTGGAGGGAAATGCCTTGACTTGGCTTCGATTACATTGGATTCCGCTTCATTGGGCCATCGGTTAATAGGGAAAGCCGGTTCATCGGGACATTTTGTCGGGAACGGAATCATTTCCATGCAAGTGCATAGAAATTTCGCCGTATATTCGGGACGAAAAATCCGCTTTATTGGGGCAAGATCAGGGTGAATTTAAGCCGTCGGTCCCAGAAGTTTTTTTTTTTTTCCGCCCTCTCTCTCTCCTTCCACTTCGCCGTGCGTTTTGCGATCAAGAACTGGCCGACTGTTAAACCAGAGACCATAGCAAACTAAGTGGATCTGGCTTTCTTTCTGGACCAGAGGTGCCAGCGTCAACTGATTAAGACTTCCGTGGACATCTTTCAGCGCTACTTTATCGAGCAGTTTGGATGATGGAGGACATGGTGCTTCGGAAAAGGTTTTTCCAGGCGTGAAACAAGCAACTATGGGCAAATTTCTTGAATCGCAATTTCTCGTTTTCCAGAAGTAAAGGACATTCGTGTCTGGGTTTCTTACTTACTAAAAGGTAAGTTCGCTTCATAACGGCAGCCGCTTAATTGGAGCGAACAGACTTGGAACCAACGCGTCCCAATGAAGCGGAATCCGATCATCTATATTTACAAATGTAACAAAATGATTTCCGTGAGTTCCGGGGATAAGGCCCTAATCGCCAGAGCTGCGGTTGTGCTTCGCGTCGCAGTTGTTGGTTTGGTGGGTGAGGGGGGGGAGGGGAGGGGAGGGGGGGCGCCATTGGAACTCCTTGCCCTGGGCGCAAATATGCCTAGAAACGGCCCTGCCAGTGATTTTGCTAATGAATATTAGGGCGAGATCTAGGCCTAGGCCTAGTTGAAGGCCTCGGAGCTTGCTAAACCTTCCGTCGTTCTTCTCAATTCATCATATCTTCCTAACACCCATACGCCCCAAAGGCACGAGTCACCGAAATATGAGAAATGAAACGAATCCAACATCAGCGACATTCTTTTAAAAGTGGATAGTATGGCCGATTCCCCGCAGGAAATCTGTTGATTGTGGCTCTGCTGCAGGACGAGATGATTGCACTTCCCTAGACACTTCTTGAAACGTGTTCTCATATAACAATTGCTCTGTTGTCATGTAAGACTTCTTACTTTATCTCCCTCCTATCCACTTTCACTCCCCCCCCCCCCCAAAGTCTGTTCAAGCATTGCATTGAGATACAGTAGCGTGCCCAGAAAATCTCAATGGGGAGGGGGGATTAACATGACAAATTGGTAACCCACCCTGCATTAATGGCCAAATTAAAAAAAAATTGAGAAAACGAACCTATAAAATGTACTCCAAGAAGGGAATTATGCCCCCCCCCCCCCCCTTGGGCACGCCACTGTTGAGATGAATCCATGTTCATAACTGAACATTCCCCCTTCCCATCATTATGAACGTAGGAAATGAGCACTTCTATAGATTTAACCCTACAATGCATGGCGTACCACATGTGCCACATTCAGGTTTTGCCTTCTTCAACACGGCACGGACGAATCCTAAGAGTCCATCTGCACGGGGTCGCAAGCGGAACATTCATCGAATCGTAGTAACAGGTAGGGCAGTGCTCGATGGCGGAGGTGGTTTGTTTCGCGAGGGAATCGCGAGGAGGCAGATGGCGGTCGTACGAGGATGTCCGTTGAACATCTTTTGCTTCTTCTGATTGGATAGTGCGCGAAAATTGGGAGATATATATAACCCCACAAAGCGAACAGAGATTGCGCGAAAGGCGATGCTGCTGCCATCCAGGGTTCCTCTCGGAACACTATTCGATGCCAATAACAGCGCTTTCAGCATTTTTTCACCCTTCCGTTCACCCACAATCCAACAATTCACCAACCTCTGCAGACGATCCACGAGTTACAACCATGTACTCGAAACGCGCGAGAGACACTTGCAACAGATAGTGATATCGATTTCGTGCCAAAATTTGGCAATTCTTCATTTTTATAGAAAAAAAAGGAAAACCAGATTTTTTTTTTTGCGTTCAGCATGGAATGTCGTCGCACCCAAATGACTTTTACACTGCATCCCACGCCCTTGAAGTCAGTAATTATTGAACATTTCGCAGACTCGGAAAAACGCAGGCAATCCCGCGACATCACTTTAAAGGTCCAGCAGCAAATTCATTTATAGAGAGCTTTTCCACCACGCCAAGTTTCCACGAAGGCGATGGAGTACCGATGGAGTACCGATAAAGTACCGACAAAGTACCGGTAGATAAACAGAGATGGAATGGTTTCGTCCACAAGGAGAACTCGAACCTTCGAGACGTTCGTTTGCGACCGAATCGGTCCCTGGTGCTTTTCTATCGGGACTGGACACGATCGAGTACAGAGTCTTCCGAGAGAGTACCAAGTACCAAGTACCAAGCACGATCCAAGTACCAGAGAAACCCCGGCTGCGTCTCGGCATGGATTGTGCTTTTTCACTTCGCCTTTTTTTCTGGTCGCGGATGGAGCAGCATCTAACATAGAGAGGTGCCACGAGGATAACCTCGAGGATAATCCTCATCATCGGGAGTCCTTGGAGGAGAATTCTTAGCGGACGTGAAATCTCCATTTAGGGATAACCACTGAGCTCAGTGGGGATAACTGGTTGGTGTTTCCTTACCGGGTTGGACCGTTCGCTTCTTTCGCGCGGTTTCGGAGCCAGTCTAATCGACGCTGCTGCCGTTTCGGTCTGTCCGAATCGGCTCGAAGGCGTCAACGCGGTGGGGAGGCTGTCACCTCGGCAATAAGGTGAAATCTCCAGTGACGAGAATTGGATTGTTCCGGTCGCGGCTTAAAGTTTTCGCGATTTCTTCCCCGATGATGTTCGGTTGGAAGGAGAAAAGTCGCCAGGTGGGTAGGCACCACGACGGGGTGGTCGGTTTTCGCTTTGAGGATTGGATCGATATCCGGTTTTGCAGCTACTGCGATTCCCTGCCTCGAGGGCGACGAAAGCAGGCGATAGGCATCGAAGGACGAGGACGGGCACGCGTCCTCGGTTGATGAAACCGCGGCGTGAAGAGGTTCGGCTGGCTCCAGCTCCAGTTTTTCCCTTTTGCGGGGGCGAGGCTTGGGAGGAGAGTGGAGATGAGGATGGTCTCCGGCCCTTATCCGACGCGAGACTAAAGGCCTCTCGTGGATGAGCCGATGCTACGGATCTTAGTTCGTCGCCACTATACATTATCGAAGAATGGGGCAAGTGCCGTACCGACGGGGGTGCGAGCAGTGCGCCGATTGGTTGCCAAATCACTACAAAATATGAATAAAACCTTTTTAAAAAAAAATTGCAAATTATCCCGAATTTTACTAAATTAAGCACAGGAATTAATACGTAATGTATTTTTGGTGCTGGGGAAGCTGGAGAGGTATAGAGGGGGGGGAGGGGGGGAAATAACTCTCACAGTGCCAAATATCCTCGGTACGGCACTGAATAGGACACTCACACCTAAGTAAACGCATGGAATTTAGAGTACTGAATCGCATTATCATGGGCGCCTTCGACAAGATGTACATATCAAAGCGAAAGACGAGCGGTGGCCAAAATCTCGCGATTTTGAAACAAGGACCAAATTATATGCTACATCGCGGAAAAACGAAATTCAAGAAAATATACGGAGACGACCTTAAACGCTTCACATGTGGGTAATTTATTGCTTCACGGAACACGCATGGTAGGAGCAGATTCTCCTTACTTCTGGTGTCCGAACTAAGTTCGGACACCCCACATAAGAGGGACTATCTGAAATCATAAGGAGCAGAAGGATACCTTTGTAACAGAACGGTTAATGACCTTCACTTTCCCCTCGGGTCAGGAAGTCTAATGCTCCTAACGCCGTCCATGCCCACATCTACTCCATCATCCCACGCTCCTTCCCTCATAATGCCCATTCGACCCTTTGAAGGACGCTCACGTAGGAACTCCATAAGACCCTCCCAGAGTGGCAGCTCTACCTTGGACTCGATTCTATTTGCTTAACTTCGTTCCGCTGGAAGAAAAAGCAATGAAATTTCGAAATTACTTCAAGAAAATCATCCAAGTCTACGGTGTCCCATTCGCTCCCACATCACACCACGAAGAAACGCATACGAGTACTGCCGAAAAGATTTTATTTTCTTTGGTTTTCATAATTTCCACGGGCAACAAAAGTCTCAAAATGTAGTACATTCTTGAAGGGTGTGCCGATTTTAAAGGACCAGGAGCTACGAGTTTCACTGCGATTATCTTCACCACCACACCATCTGGTTGAGCCGAAATGGGAAAAATTGCACCCGGATTTTAGAGTCACAGGGTTGAGAAGTAGACCAAAACAAATTTAGCAGCCAGGTCACAGGACCCTAGCCCTAATTTTGATTTCCCAATGGGAATTTAAAAAAAAAACCAATGAATGAGGAACATCCTGTAGGGCTAGGGGAAACCAGGATGTTCTTAACTCTGGAGGAGCACATTCCCAAAAGCAGAGCCTTCGCTGACACAGACCCAACTATGTAACTGTTGACTACAAACCAAAAATTCTGTCCCAAAAGAAAAATTCATTCACTTGGCTTCATCGATCCAGGAACCTTTATGAATAGAACAGGTAATGAGAGTTCTTGCAGTTGGAAATTTCCATCTCTTTCCTGAGAAAAGTCAGCTTAGCTTTGCCCATGGGAACGGCACAAGAGAAAAAATACAATCCATCATCATGGAATGTTCTTCAAGCCTGGACACAAATTTCCTGGAAGCCAATTTCATGGAAAGACAAGACTAGACCCCCTTCATGAAACAATCCCCACCGCCAAGAATCTTGGGGTCAAGCAGCAACAAAGGCTTTCGAGGTCAAAAAAATTTCAGCCAAAAAGGTTCCCAGCCAAAATAAAAAAAAAGTCCAGGCACAGTCTTAAGGCAAAAAGCATTTGTTGCTGCATTGGAATCTCGCTCCAACCACGTCACCTGAGAAGGCGGGGGGGTACCGAACGAGCTCGAACAGAGTCTCCGACGGGAATGCATTCCACACAGTCACACACATACACACAATCATGCATACAGGTGGCAGCACTGAAGAGAGAGCAGGTGGCATGCACACACGAGCAAGAACTGAGATCAGTTTCTGCTGCTCAACACCTCTTCCTTTTTGTGAGCCTGGCATATGGGGTTTCCGCTGCTGCCACTTCTCGTGTTCCCAAATGCCCTCCTTTCCCCAGTGTTCATATGTCCATGCTCGAATTCTTCACACTGTCCATAACTCAGCCTCCAACAGGAGTATTGCTCCAATCATTCCAAAGCTATACCAACACCACTGGGTCGTTTGGGCAAGTACGGAGGGCAAACAACATTTTCATTACCCTCAGCCTCATTCAAGGACATAGCCCAGGCTGAAAATAATAAAAAAATATTCGTACAAAATCAATGAGGTGGCCAAGCTGATGTTTGAGGAAACAAAAGCATCAATCAGTCCTTTTTTTGGGGAACCTGTAGATTCAGGAACATAAGCAGTCTTCTCTTTGGCCACACACTACTAACATGGCTATTGTCTTCCATCACGAATCCTCATCGGCATCAGCTCGGCCATCTCGAAACGAATAATTCCCATACACAACAATTTCCAAAACTCAAGCACAGACCTCCACTGGACAATTCAAAGGGTAGGAGGAAAGAGGCAATCTAAATAGACTTCAAGGACCTCACATTGATTGTGCCTCTTATCAACTGGGAGACAGGATGGGAAAAAAAAGAAAACAGTAGGCCTAACCCTTATGCTCAGAGGAAACATGAAAAGACAGCTTCGAGATTGAGGGTGGACAAAAATGAGAAAAGGGAAGGAAAACAGAAAGCAGCCGAAGAGTCTTAACTTAAGTATATGAACTTTAGGGGAGGAGGGGCAAGAAGACATTGCCTTCCCACTTTCACTTGCTAATGTTCGACTCATCCGACTCCTCGGGCTCCACCTGATGCTCCGCAACATACAACTTCGGGTCAATGACCTGAAAGAAAAAAGTTCAAATTCAAATTCGTGAAGACCAGGCAAATTAGAGACTATTTTTATCTTAAATTTTGCATTCAATCAATAAAGTTGATTGCTTTTATGATAGACATCTACAAAAAGTTGAATGTGATGAAGCTTGAGCCAATAAATTGAGATACTCTAAATTCAAACCCTAGATCAATCCATGTAATAACTTGACTTCAATGACATCAAATTCATAAGTAAACAAAGATATCTTCAAAAAGGTCAAAGTGTTCTCACTGAATGGCAAATTAAATGGCAATTTCCAACAGGAAAAAAAAAACTGACTTTGCTATAAGACTTAGGAGTCATATCATTGGGCATAGCAATCTGATACATGCACCACTCCAAAAATTGTGCCAGCATTAAGACTGGAATGATCCAAATTCACAGGTCTAGACCTAATGAAATTTCATCTCAAAAGGTGCAAGATTATATATGCTGAATTGAAAACATGCTAAATGAGCTTTACAGTCGGTAGCATTCAACTACCATTCTAAAGAAAGTTTTATAAGTGATTATTTTACATACCTTTGGTATGGGCTTGATTTCAGTGCCAAGCTCCTGCTCAATACGGTGGAGAGAGTAACGATCCTCATATGTAATGAGATTGATGGCAATGCCCAGGTGTCCAAAACGGCCACTTCGACCAATTCGATGCAGGTATGTCTCAGACATGCGAGGGAAATCAAAGTTGATGACCACATTCACTGCCTGAATATCAATACCTCGTGTGAAAAGGTCTACAAGGGGACAGGAAAGGTTTGATTACAACCAAAATGCAATTGTCCATCCAGATGGAATACAATGAGGTTTCCAAGGTCAAGCACATACCAGAGCAAACAAGATTTCGACACAGTCCTGCACGGAAGTCATGGAACACCCTATTCCTATGGGCTTGCTGCATCTTGGCATGAATGTAGTAGCAGGAGTACCCCAGCTCTGTAATCTTCTTTGCAAGCAGTTCCACCCGTTGAGTTGAGTTGCAGAAAATGATTGATTGATTGATTTGCAACTATCAGATTAGAAGAATCAGAATTAGATATGTTTTCCACAAGGGGCTTTACTAAAGTTATTACAAGTAGTATAAACATTGGAACACACCTTGGAGAAGAGTGTATTGAGGCAGTGCACCTTCTGACGTTCCTGCACAAATGCGTAGTACTGGGTGACACCTTTGAGGGTCAGCTCCTCCATTAGATTTATCTCGTATGGATTCTTCAGGTACTTCCGCTACAAAAGATTAAGAGATGAATGTACCGCTAAACAAGCCAGGAGCAAAAATCCCATAACTAGCACATCCATACCATGAACTCCTCAACAGTGAGGGGAAAAGTGGCTGAATAAAGAAGAATCTGTCTCCCAGCAGGAAGGAAGGATATGGCCTTGTCCAGCATCCCCTTGAAATCTTGGGACAACAACTTGTCTGCCTGTTTGTTTCAAAGCAAAGAAAGGTAGGCCAAGCACGCATTAGCAAATGATACTTCTAAATTGAAACTTTGCACCTAATCAAACCAACACTTCTACACACACCCACAAACGGGAATAAACACTGACCTCATCAAGCACAAGAATTTTGCATTTTTCCATCTTCGCAATCTTCTTTTCCATGAGGTCCAAAATCCTCCCAGGAGTAGCAATTATCACATGCACTGAAATGAAAAATAGGAATAGAAGGAAATTGACTTTTAAACTTGAATCACTTTTGCAATCCAATACATACCATTCTCAAGAAGTCGCATGATATCATCTTTGAGATTTGTGCCACCAGTTGTGACCATGACCTTGACTCCCAGATGCTTGGCAAGTTCAATGCAGATCTGACTAGTTTGAAGAGCAAGCTCCCTAGTAGGGACTATCACCACCGCTGTTGGAAAATATACATAGTTTAAGAAAGGACCATGAACTTCTCCAAATTAAATTATCAATTTATGTAACATACCCTGCACAGCATCCATAGTAGGATCCACCTGCTCCAGGATTGGAATAGAGTATGCCCCTGTCTTTCCTGTACCATTCTTTGCTCTGGCAAGGATATCCCTACCAGTCATGGCAATCGGGATACTGGCCTCCTGGATGGGAGAGGGCTTTTCCCAGCCCTTCTCAAAGATTCCCATCAGTAACTCTCGTCGGAGGCAAAAGTCTTCAAATTCAGTGCCCTTTGTGTCTGTAACATCCTGTAGTGGAAATTAAACATGAATTATTTTAATTACATTCATTCCAATTTTAGAAAGTTCTAATATGCTTAAGTCCTGCATGAACCAAGAACCAGGCCTAGACATGGTGTGGAAAAACAATCAGCACTCACTGTGGTTTTGATTCGACGATCTGGTGGGGGCTTCTTCAAGCTCAGCTTCCAACTTTTATCCTGGTCATCAATGACACTCCTGGAATGGAATGAGAAAACTATATATTCAAAAACCAAACTTTCATTAAACAGAATGGAAAATTGTCCAAAGATTTAAAAATATAAGTCCTATTGCTTCAAGCAAAGAGCAAAATACTTTTGGAATTAAAGGAATGAAAGGAATAACATTTCCTGGGTCAATAAAACTCCAAAGCAAAAACACAGATATAGCCACTTCAATTTCACCCTTTCACTTCAAAGGTGTCCGACATGAAAAATTCACTCCCCACCACAATATGCAAAAGGCAGGTGGAATATGCAAAGATATCAAGTTAAAGAGCTGTCTGTCAGCATGAAGTTTGCACAGATACATGAAAATTTTGTGAACAGTAAAAGTTTTGGGGAAATTTTGGAGGAAAATGAAAATTTAGAACTTAATTTCTAATAAAGGTACTATGACAAAATGCATAAGGTATGAAACACCTGGGGTCAGGGAAAGGTTTTTTGAATAGGCCTACAAAGACAACCTAAGCCATTACAAACTCTAGTGGGCAATGAATGTCAGGCTTCTTGATGGGTGATTTCACAGATGAAAAGTATTACAGCTCTAACAAAAAATAAATAAAATTCCCACAAATATTTCAAATTCCCTACTGCTCATATCTGAGCTACCAGATTTACATCTGCAAAAATCCAAACATTTGCAAAACCTATGCAATGGAGCAAAGATATTGATCATTCAATGGACCCACATTCTTGTTAGCCCCTGTGTGATGTTTGTACTTGCAGGTTTGAGAGGATCACTGTGATTCACAACAGGTCCCAAGGAGTCAGTCATGATGCTCGTCATCTTGCCAAGTTCACTGGAACACTAAGGACAGCACCAAAACACAGCCTCTCAAGAAGGCCAACAAGCAGTCTCTTTGCAGAGTTCTCAAGTGCTCACAGCGTCAGGTAGTGAAATGTCACGTTCCTGTTTTGAGTTCTGTATCGCACTATTAGGGCCAATATCAAATTTCTCTAGCATATGCTATATTCAGCTTTCACTGACAGGCCTGAGCTCAAGTTCGCAACTCAATCACCAATCTAGGAGAAAATGAAGCATGAACTTACTAAGTGAGCCAAACATTCAAAACCTGAACGTGATACAGATCATGAAATATTCACCGTACTTAGGAATGGAGTGGATATAATGCAAAGGATAGCGCAAACCCATAAAAAAAATGTTATAGCCTCATTCTAATTTAGTGACATTTAAGTCAATTAGTACAAGCAGAGTATTTATTATTTTTAACAATGCGAAATGAAAACAGGTGTCCAAAGTATGGCCTATGGACCACATTGGTCACATGGTTCACATTCAAGGAAATGCACTGCTAAGAGCATCATACCCTTAGTGTCGTATTGTTCCACATTTATAACTTTTTTGCTATCTGGCCTGCATGATTTTACTGAAAGTGTCCAACACTCAGATTAAACACCCCTGTAAGAGAGGGACATTAACCTCTGACCAATCCGATCACAGAAAAATAAATTATGGCAAATTCAAACATGATTACTTAATGTAAGAAAATACATTCAACAAATTTTAACTTAACTAGCATGTTTATGCATCACAATCCCAGGTTGGACTTAATCACTAATTTAGGGACGGGTCAAATGTTGATCCTTTGGGTTAGCACCAGCACAAGTTGAAAATTTGCTTACCAAAATGCTTAAGATAGATTCTTGTACAACCTTTAAGCTCATAACATTTAACCCTCCTCACATGTGAGAGGATGAAAAGGGCATACTACAAAGAACTAATTAGTTCCAGATCAGTTCAAGTTACAGCATTAAAAAATCCTTGCCAATATAAATACCATTACCATTCAATTAAATTCAACATCCAGAAATCAGCACATACAAGAATAAAGTAGAATGGACATTACTGTTCTAGACTTTTAACAGCCCAAAGCAAATAATTGAAAAGCTATAAACTGAACCCCTATGTCAATACTGATGTCTGTCATATTTCATTCTCTTTCACAAGATTACTTTGACTTACTTTCTATTCTCTCCCCCCCCACCCCCATTCTCTTCCTCTTTTATTGCACTAAATCTAGTTTTGGTCCATTTGAGCTCTTTAATAGTCTGATACTTACTTTCCACACATCACTTCCACCATTGGTATTAACTAATTATAGGTCAATGCCCAGTGAGATGACTAAGGTTACACTAGACCCTAAGAAATCATGGCCATGGCATAGTTTTATATAATGTTTATGATGGGAGTGCTGTTACCATACCATGCACATGATCACAGGAATGAGTATGAAGGCATTTAACCCAACAAGCTTCCACGAAACATTTTTTGGAGCTTTGAGTAATGGGTTAAGGACTACATATTCATAGAATCATTTAATAAATATATAATGGCAGTGCATTGGCCAAGCTGAATCAGCCCTGACTTAGGGGATGAGCTGGAAGTCAAACTCCTAACTTCAGTTGAGACCTACATTCTATACAAGAGCTTGGCCTCTAAGTTGAGGCTGAGCTGGCTTTCTGAAGTAGAAAAGGCTGTCTAAGGTTAGGCCTAAAAATCATAAAAGCTGTTGCATTTCAGTGATGGCTTTCATTGTCACAAGTGTCATGTTTTAGTTTTTCAGCAATTCCAACCACAAAGTACCTATAAAGATGCAGAATTTCACACAAGTCATATCAGGGCAGAGCTCACACAAAGCCCTGTGTGATGGGAATAGAGCCCTTAACAGGTAATCTCAAGAGTTAATTTAAACTCGGGTGCCCAGACAAAATTTCCCCTTCCCAATGAGACACCTTAAATTTGTTATCTGTTACCACGTTACCTATTTCCTATCCTGACAGTTTTTAATTGATCATATCCTTCAATAACAGATCTGTCTAGTTTTGTGTTGATAGGCCAAAAAAAAAGGCTGCTCAAAAATCTTCCCACGATGCAAAGAAACCATCTTCCTCTACCTTGTCTCTTTGGCAGGCTGCTAGAAACTTCATTAAGTTAGATATGATTCCCAGCTCATCCCTGGAGTAAGGGCCAAGTCAGCTTGGCCAATTGACACTGCCATATATAATAGGTCTTGACCATGCCAAAAGCATTCCTTAACCCAGGGATAAATTTTTCAGTGTCCAGCAAATCCTACAGAATCAAGCACCACAAACCGCAATTACATCGCAATTCAAAAGGAATTTTATACTCAAAATCACTAAAAAGGAATTTGATTTTTTCGGCGACGCACTGAACCTCTGGTGCCGGGCACCTCCCAAGAGTGACTACGTTAAGTGCGTCCAAATTAAAAGGTGGAATAAGCTTGTCATTAGGGGCTGGTCTGGTTCTGCCGCATATCCCTCCATCATTAAGGGCCTACAATAAGCTAAGCTGGGATGGACATGGCTAGGCCGAGGCTTGGGTCGGAATTTTACGAACCGACCTCCGAAGGCGGAGCTTAGGCTAGGCCTAGGCTTAAATACCTGACAATTATCGGAACGACGCGTACACGAAAAAGTAGGCCTACGAAGCGTCTACGATGACTCGAGAACGGAATCACTCCGAATCGTAAACGGAATTCACCGCATCAGCTGACCTCATCGACGCCTCGCATCGCACACGGAAGCGTCGAGAGACGATCGGGACACCAGAGGTGAGGCCTACACCGACCCAAGGATCAGATTCAAGCGCCATCCCATCGTGTGCGTATGTGTATGTCTGTGCGGAGCGAAGCGCTCGGCTCGGCACCCCGAACGACTGGAACAGGCAACTGCCTCCGCTACTTCTAGCCTCTCTCGCTTCTCGCTCGCCCCGGCCGAAGGCAGGCTCGACTCGGCTGGCTTGGGCTCGTGCTGCATGCAGGTCAATATGGAGGGACGGGATCGCACGGGCGGATCGGAGCAGCGGAGTGGTCCGAGATTCGAACCGCAGAGCGGCATGTGCCGGCTTCACTCTCGACCTCGCTTCTGCTTTTTCCTTTTCGCGTATTTTGCCCCTTTTTTTCCCCTTAATCGAAACGGCTCACGACATGGCCCTTTCGTTGCTGATCTGCGCCGTCGCGGCTGGAAACCCTGCGTCGCGGGAATGGGAAGGAACCATCCCATCGCCGCTCGGTGGAGTTCCTTTTTTTTCGGCTCGAAAACGCCCGAGACGAATTGCACTAATCGCCGCGGTCGAACGAAAGCCTGTGGGGCGCAAAAAAAAAAATACAGAAGTAGAACCGAAAAGCAGAATATCACTCACCAGATGACCTTTGTACGCGATCCTTCCTTCGGCTCGAAATACGATGACGGTCGATAAATTTAGTTTCCACCGAAAACGGCGATTTCTTTTTCTTTTCACTTTCATCCGACAAGCCTAAAGCTCCGCCGTTTGCAGATATTTTCCGCCCGAGGAAAACCGAAATGCCCTTTCGCCAGCACGACGAACGAGCAAATCGTCGCGAGAAATCACCACGACGTTTCCGGGCTCACAAAATCCCAAATTCTCCGCCACCGGACCGAGCCTGGGCCGCGAGGATTTCGGCAGCTCGGCCGCCTCGAGCCCCACCTTTGCACCCGCAACTCCTTTCCTCGAGTCTGATGCGGACCGTCCCCGTTTCTTAAACGTAACACGACGCGAACGCCCTCGGCTCCACGCCGAGCGAAAGGCAGCCTCGCATTCGAACCGCGAGACACGTAAACCTCCGAGAAACTCCTTCACCCAAAAGAAACGCCACGCGAAGCCACTCGAACGGCCGACCGGGAAGAACCTCGCGTCATCGATCGCGACGTCGCTCCCCCTGCCCCCTGCCCCCTCCCCCCCGAGAAAGAGAACATCCGCTCACCTTTCCGACGAGACTGCCGGGGACGGAATGGGGGCGGGGGAAGGGAGGCGACGCGTCCCTATGCCCTGGGCCCGTGCAAGGGCAAGGTCAGTGACGTCACCGACCTCCACTTCCCCTTGCGCGTGGAGAAGTTTGCCGAATCGATTTCCGGCATCGATCCCGGTCGTTCGCCCGGGCCGGGAGGCCCCGTCGTCCCGTATGCACAAGAGGATACGGGAGCCCGACGTTCCCTCCTCGCGGGAGCCCGACGCTCCCTCCTCGCGGGATCCACACGATTTGGCTTCCGTCTGACGACCTCGGAATTTCGTATAGATGAAGAGCAAGACGGGAACGGAACATGAAAGTTTGACTACTCCTGGCAGAACAGCATCCATAAAAGTTTGATACAACTCTGCACATAAATAAATAGACAGATGTATCGCTTCCCTCTCTACCTCTCACGATACCTTTTTTTTTTGCAAACATTTTCGCACACGACCATCGTCACGTCGGTGCCGACAGACGCCGCCGCCTCCGTTCGGGCCAAACGAGAAGTACAACTAATAATTAAACCGACTCGAACGACTGAGGGGTATTAGTCGCGCAGAATTTAAATATCGCTATTTTAAAATAATAATACTTAACATTTTAAATATTAAAAGCAAGAATTATTTTTTTTTTTAAAAAAAGCAAGTTTTGAGCAAAACTAATTAAAAACGCATTAAGGAATCCCATTTTCCAATGATTCCCCTCAGCCCATCGACACGAAATACCTCGATCGCTCGAACGGCATCCCAGGAAAGCCTCACCGGCGGCCTCCTTCACCGGCGGCCTCCTTCACCGGTGGCTTCCTTCACCGGTGGCTTCCTTCACCGGTGGCTTCCTTCACCGGTGGCTTCCGCTGAGACGCCGAGACGTCCTCGGGGCCAGCCGGGATCGACGTCGATCCTGCGTCGCGTTGTCGTCGCTCTTTGAGTCCGAACGAGTAGGGGCAGGTACTAAAAGGTACTAGAAAGTACTAGAAAGTACTTTGAATCGAATAGGGATTCGCAATAGAAGAAATACTCGAGGACGCATCACGTGCCGATCGTTTGCTCTGGGGGAGAATTTTTCCGGGAATCAGACGGTACCGAGAAGTACTTTCAGAAAAGTACTGAATCGTCCAGAGATCGATTCGACTTCGAAGTGACGCCGCTGTCGGTCGTCGCCGACGTCGGCGCCACGGACCGCAGTACGGCCACGATACTGAAATTTAAATGAAATTTACCAAATGGATTCGAGGCTCATATCGTCACCCTCCGCGTTTTTCCTGGGACAAATACAAGGCAAACACTGGAAGTACGATTGAAAAATCAATAGGCAGCTTCGTTTGACAAAAAAAAATCCAGATCCATTTCGACGAGACTTGCCTTTAGCCAGGGTCGAGGGAATTCGCAGGAACACGGCATACATCCAAATTAAATTTGTCTTCTTGCTGGAAGAGGGCGGGTATACGATCACGGGGTGGTAAATGCTTTTTCTTTCTCAATCAGTTCAAATAAATCGATCCTTCTCCTTCCCCCCCCCTCCCCCCCCCCCCTTCCCCCACCCTTCCCCCACCCTTCCCCCCTGCTTCTCTCTGCTGTGGCATCTGAATCGTGGGTTACAAGTACTGGGCCAGTACTGCCATTACCGGAAAGTACTTTCCGCGAAGTACTAAATAAGTAAAGCATTTTTGAATCTCCCTATACACGTGATCACAAAGCAACGCAAGATTGCATCTACGTTATTTTTCAAACGAAATACGGAAACTATAAAATCAGCCAAAAAAAAAAAACTCGACCGTCGACGCGATCGGGCTCCGTTCGATCGCTTTCACGTTCCGACAAGTCCCGAAAGTGCGATGGTGACGTCATACGGAGGTGCACCAGAAGTCGGGCATAGTCGGAAAAAAAGAGAGAAAAAAAAAGGCAGTTGCTTGGATGTGGTCGCGAGAAACAGTCGTCGCATTTCACTTCTCAAAATAACGCTCCAGGAACAACCACTCATGGAAAAGCATTACCTTATTTGCCCCTCTCCCCCCCCCCCCCCCCCCCCCTCCCCCCCCTCCCCCCTCTCCCTTCCCCACCGCAAGCACATGACATTTTTTTGCTCATGACGCAGCGAGGCTTCTATTTAAGAAGCAAAAAAAAAAAAAAAAACGCCCGGCAAAAGGTCGACGACGGCAGAATCCCCCAAAAGCGAGCCGACACGAGCCGACACGAGCCGACACGAGCCGACACGAGCCGACACGGCTCCACTGTGGCGACGCGACTCTTTAAAGGAGATATCTCGGATGTAAACACGCGTAAACACATCCGGAAGCGCGAGCCCTTCCCATCCGTACATTTCCGGATTTAGTGGCGACTCCATCCACCTAGTAAAAACGCTAATACGATAATAAAGGCGATAATTAAATTTAAAAAACACTCCGGTTGAGTCTGAGACGTTAAAGAGCAGAGAGAGCGAAAGCGACGAGGGATTCGAAATCCCCAGGAAAGCCGCACAGGTGGCCTCCTTCACTTGACGGCTTCCGCTGAGGCACTGTGCTGCTCCGTTCCCCGCTGGGATCGAGGTCGGAGGGATGACGGGATCGAGGTCGGGGGGAGCCCCGGCTGGATGACGGGATCGAGGTCGGGAGGGAAATGCTTTCAGGGAAGTTCTGAATTCGTCTGCGGAAAGGGCGATTGGAATTACGTCGGGAAGAGGGTGTCACGCTTACGACGACGATGACAAAACAAGTACTGACAGTACTGAAAAGTATTTTTGTGAAGTACTAAACCGATGCGAACAAAAGGATGTCTCCTAGCCGAACCGACACCGAAAGTCCTAAAGCTGCGAGATCCGCGTCATCGAGCTGGAAGCAGAGGCCCAACATCACTGCAAAAGCACACGGAAGCGTCGAGTATTTCTTCTATTGCGAATCCCTATTCGATTCAAAGTACTTTCTAGTACTTTCTAGTACCTTTTAGTACCTGCCCCTACTCGTTCGGACTCAAAGANGGGGGGGGGGGGGGGGGGGGGGGGGGGGGGAGGCTGACTCGAGTTTCCCTCATCAAAGCCATTCCTTGGAGGCTTCGGCGAAGGGCTGGGAATCTTACCTGAAAAGGGGCACTGCGAGTCTCCGATCCAATCAGGCCTTGAGGATGAATCCGAGAGAAAATCAAGTAAATTGGTCGAAATCGATCGATGCAATCGACAGGATGAATAGTCTCAAGGGCTCGAAAAGGTATAGGCCTACTTCATTAGTGTTTTTTTCCCCGAAGGTATAGGCGGATTAAACCCGATTCAATTACGAAAAGCTTTTTTATTGACATTTCCCTCGTTTTCGCTTCGACTTCGATGGACTCAGAGAAAAAAAATTGCCGGACGAAAAAGCGCAGCAGGCTTTCCTTCGAGGCGCCTCGGGGCAGTCGAAGAAAGCAAAAATACGATCCGCTCGACCCGATAACAACAAAAAAAAGGCAGACAGAGACGAAAATACCTGCCTCGTTCTGTCGTGACGGATTCATTCCCGTCTCGCAACCGATTCGCACGCATTTCGTCTGTCCCACATGCCAATCCTCTCCTATTAGTCCCACGCCTTCATAAAGTCCCTGTCTTTTCATCGGCGACGAAGAGGCTGAGCATGTCGGAGCACCGAATCTTGGACTCAAGGCACCGAACCCTCAAATCAAGGCGACAAACACTGGAGCTAAACTCACCTCAGTCTCTGCGCCTGAAGATTTTCAAGACGCTCCGAGGCGTTCGATTCGGATGGGAGCAGATTCGAGGCGTT